AAAATATTATTTAAAAAATATAAAAATTAAATTGTATTTCTTAAAAAATATATAATTTAATTTATTTAATTTAAATACTAATAAATAAGCAGCCAAAATTAATAAATACTTAAAAAACTAATAACTAATATTAAAATTTAAAAACAATTATATATAAAACTATTTTTTTAAAACATGTATTACAAAATTTAAAAACTTCTAATATTTAAAAATTTAAGAATTAAAAAAAATTAAAACCGAGCCCCCGGAGCAACGCCCGGGCCTGAGACCTAGTCAGAAGAAGAAATTAATTGTTTGAATTGTGTTCTGTTGGGACGACTGTCACAATAAAAGGACGGCCTGTTGAACGACTGCCAATGTATTACATGGTTAAAAAATTGGTTGTAATAACCAGCCGATACTCTGAAGGGCTGTTGATAGCAGAAGGGCAATATATGTTCTTCATAGTAATAGGTTGCCCAAAAATGAGAACAAATTTTTTTTGTTATGCTAGGTACCCCATCTTTAAACGATTGGTTGAATAATAAGTAGGGACTTTTTACCCTGATTTCATTGTAATTAAACGTGTAGGTATTGTATTGTAATACCTTATATACTTAATTTATTGGTTCAAACCCATTTTTTATGAAAATTCGCTTTACAATAATTTTTAAACGAAAAAATTTTTAATATGATTAGCTAATTTTGGGGTCAAACCAAATAGGCGCATATGAACAAAATGGAACAATAATTATGATAGTCAATATTGTATACATTTAGAATTTTATATGCAGTGAATTTAGAATTTAAGACTATTTAATTTTACAATGAATGTTTTTTTGTCTCGGCAGAAAATATGGAAAGAATATTGACACTTATTATTTTGCAGACCCATGGCATTGACTATGATGCATCCATAACGGATTGGTCTTAAAAACCTTAATGGTTTCCTCGTCTTCTTTGTCAATCAGCAACTTACTCAGGTACATACAAGGCTCGCTTGATATAGCACCCCATACCAAAACTTTATCTATAGCCCATAATTCTTCGTTCGAGTTTTTTATTGGCATTATGACAAATGGACCTCTTTGACGAAACGCTTTTTGCGACCATCCTGCTGCAGTGAAACCGAATGAAGATCCATATGTAATCACCAAGTCATCACATAAGCTAAGCAACTTCATAACGATAAGAGCGTGTACTTCCGGACTAGCGTTCCAACTAACAGGATTTGGTGAATCCATATCTTGTTCGGTATAAACTATTTTAATAGAATTGTTATTATTTGAATTAAATACTTCACGAAGTGATTTTACTAATTTTTTCCGACTATCATTATCTGCAACCACAAAGATAGATATGTTCATGTTTTTTATTCCTAACATCAACATTTTCACCACTTGACTATAATGTTCTATGGGTATTATCATATCATCTGGTGACTCTTTTTGTCTTAAATGAATTCCTATATTATAATCGTTAAAATTATTGTCCACAAAAGTCTCTACTTGTTTGCTAATATTTAAGTGTAATCTCAATAATTTTAGGCTGATTGCAGTAAAAACTCTATAATCAGGTATCACTTTATTAAACCAATTCTTATAATAAGGATTTGACGTTATAGGAGCACATGCGTAATCCCATGTACGAACATATAAAACATCGTACGAAATTAGTTCATCGTTGCTAAGGTTTCCTCTCGCAACCAACGAAAAGTCGTTATATGAATTAAGAGCATGTATATATCTAGAGGTACTATTTTTATACAAGTTTGTAACAATTTTCCAGTCATGTTCGAAATCTTTTTCATAATAACTTTCGAAATTATCATAACCATCAATAAAAAATAGCCTATCAGTAATTAGTGAATATAAAAAGCCACAAACTATTCCGGGTAAACGGTTCCCGTGTCCTGTATTCATGTCTAGCCGAACAACAACAACTTTCGGAAGTTCAGATAAAGTATGTTTGGCAGATGGCCTTAGTAACTTGGAAACTATTCTATTATGCTTCTTAACATATTCCTTATATACTAGATCAAATTCTAAATGGTTTACATTCGTCTTCACTGTATCCTTTTCTATTATTAAATTCTTTACAAAAGTGTGGTTCATTGTTTTCTCTACAATTGTGTTCGTTGTTGTCTCGATATTTGAATGGTTCGTTATTTTCTCTATATTTGTGTTGTATATTATTTCCTCTATATTTGTGAGATTCGTTATGTTCTTTATATTCTTAGTAACGTGAATCATGTCTGAGGTTATTAAAATAAATGCTATACAAAAGATGATAAGCATCCAGAACATGCAGAGAAAATATCCTTTAACAAGTCGCATAGTGAAAATTATGAATAAGTAAATGATATACCGATACAGTTTCATTAATTTTTATAGTACATTTATAGGATAATTTTTGTGACACAAACTTTCTAGATTTGAAATTGTGACACGGACAAAATTTTTCGTCTAGCTATTATTTTTAATTAATAAAGGATTATGTACGTATATGCATTAGGATTCTGCCAGCCATATGCCCATAGATGTAAAAATGCCAGGCATCATTAAAAGCATATGCACAAAATGCCAGTCACTATTACACTATTAAGGCACAAATACAGCCAGGATAAAATCGCAACTAATGACTGAACTTGCCAACTCGTGACTTGAATAACTTGAATTTGTCATAATTCAAATTATAAAATTTTTTCAATAATTAATTTCATGACACGAATAATTCAATAATTCGAATAAAACCAAAATAAATAATTCAATCAAGTGTTTCGAGTACTTTTCCGCCAGTCTACATAAGTACCAACAACTAAGGATGTTGAATTGGTCCAATTCAGATCATGGAATCGAAAACCGATGATCCGAACCGTGATCTCACATCTGTGAATTAAGGTGTCCGGGTTATGATGCGGATAAAGCCAAATTATGCGTGCAATAAATACAGTCTTTGAGCGCAAATTATGCGCTACATTATATCGATTAATATCATGAAATTTGTTTTGTCGGGGCAAATGATTGGTTGACATATGCCACGTAGCGGCACGTTCAGCCAACATTTGCTCTAACAGAACAAATTTTCTGATATTTCATGATCATGATTCTCAAGTCATCATTGGCTGAGTTTTAATTTGAATAAACATAATTACAAAATAATTAATGTTCAAGCATGCTTGACCAATCAAAATTAGCATACATATAAACAGTTTTAGCATTTTTTAAAAAATTTGAACGAAGTTTCTCAATAATTACCTGACCAAATTCAATGCAATTTTTTTATTAAATTCTACGAATATGTAGAATTAAAATAAAGAAAAAACTTCATCGAATTTTGTCAGGTAGTTATCGAGAAACTTTGCTTAATTTTAGAAAGAACTGATTCGTCTATCAGTAAATTAAGTGTTTCTAAATTTTTTTAAAACTTTGAGAGAAGTTTTCTCGATAACTTACTAACCAAATTGAATGAAATTTTTTTATTTTATTCTCCACATTCATAGAATTAAAATAAAAAAAATCATTGAGTTTAGTCAGGTAATTGTCAAGAAAATTTCAAAGTTTAAAAAAAATTTACTGATAGACAGAACAAGTTATTTCTTTGAGCGAAGTTTTCTTGAAGGCTATTCAATAAATTTTTTTTATTTTAATTCTATGAATTTATAGAATTAAAAGAAAAAAAACTTATCAAATTTAGGGAAAATTTTGTTCAAAGTTTTTAAAAAAAATTCAAAATTACTGATAGACAGAAATTTTTCTTAACTTTTCTTGATAAACATCATACAAAATTTGATAAAAGTTTTTTATCTTAACTGTATGAATGTGTAGAATTAAAATAAAAAAAGGAATTTTACCAGGTAGTTAGATCACACAAATTTAATATCTTAGTTTTTATAACATGAAACTTTTAAACAGACCTGGTTGGCTGGCTTTTTTTTTTAAATTTCATATATAAAATTGAATTAGTATAGATGTACCCATAAGGGTATATTAAAATTTTTTATACCTGTGATTTCATGATATAACAATCACAGAGTATATAAATAATGATTATTATACTAGCTAATCTTTTATTTTTTATTTGTTGCTATTGTAGGTATTATTGTTGAAATTGCCAGTCTTGGAGTCATTTTATGTCATCACATTATTGAAGCCTGGATTTATACATGCTGACAAAATTATTTTAGGTTTCAGGGTATGAAATTAAAATTTGAAGATAAAATTGTTTTTGACCTATTTTACTTAAAAGACGAAATTTTTTGACACTTTTTTTGACACTTTTTTTGAAGAGACAAAATTATAAGAAATATAACTACCTAAATTAGATTTACTCTTGTATATAAAAATTCTAAATTGCTCTAATGGAGACGAAATAGGGTTTTTTTAAAACCCTATTTCGGTAGCATGTATAGCCTAGATATAAACTTATCACTTTTGATATCACAGCTTTTATTGTCATTGTTTAGATGCCCTTGTAAATGTGGATTTTATTTTGTGTTGTCATATTGTAATTTCGTAATTGTAGATATCATTGTAGATTTCATTGCTTTGGGTAGTCCCTGTCTCACTTTACTGGAGTTTTTATCAGCATAATTTTGTGTTTATTTTTAGCATTCTTGTAATAGATTTTGTCACTTATGGTGGTTTCATGTTATCAGGTTTATTGTACTTTATTGGTTCAATTTTATTACATTTTTTAGATAAGTTAGTGTAGATTCATTGTTCATACTATTGGTATAATTTCTTCAGGAACTTTATGCTGATCTTTCAATAACAATCTTAGTTCAGAAGGTTGAAAATCATTAGATGTTGCATTTTACAAGAACATTATGCTAATTTTTTTGTGCTTTAGTTATAACAAGCTTGGATTAAAAGAAGAAAAAGCATTGACCAATGCAATTTTGAAAGAACATATTGATTTCTTTGGCTATTCTTAGATCAAAAGATAAATCTTTGCATAACAGAATAAGAAACATGTTAATGCATCATCTAGCTTAGATTAGTTTGCAAGAATATTACAATAGTTTCTTCAGATTTTAGGTAAAATAACTTAAACATATGTAAGATAATAGTATATTGTGTCTAAAGTTGGCATTCACCTGAATTTGCAACTTTCTTGTCATTAAGATAAATGAAACACAAAAATATGTTTATTTAAATCAAATTAGTGAAAAATGGTTAGTGAGTTTATTATTTAAATTAAATTTTTTTTTGTCCAAATCATCCTTTTTTTTTTTTGGTATTAAGATGAGGCCTTGCTCATATTTTTATTAATAGTTTTTAACATAGTAACTACAAAGAGTTGCTAACCTTTAAATATTTAAAATATAAAAAGTAAAAACTACATGCAAGAATAAAAGCTCAAACTACTTTATCTGCGACCTAAACCTACTAAAGTGGTTAAAGACTCACCTAGATTGTAATAGATAAAATGTAATTAGAAGATATACTGTATTTAATCCATAATATATTGAAGATTTTGAGTTTGCAAACAGCCTGCCCTAGTGGTAGGCAGGAATTATTAATATGTAGTTGGTCTGGTTGGCCACATTGGCATGAATAAGTATAGGTTTTACAGGTTCGTTTTGAGATTCTGTTGGTAGAGTTTTGTAGCTGAGGTTGGTTATAAGGTAAAGTAATTTGGTATTGCTTCTTCCAGTTTGAAAAGTTACAACAATATGGTTTCTATAATTGTTTGTAAATAAGTTCGTTAATTCAGAGTATGATTTTGATAATAGTTTGAGATGCCAGTTTGTATGGGATATCAAAATTTTGAATAGTTTGAACTAGAGATATAGAAATGAAACCCTTAAATGTAATGTCTAAGAAAGGTTCATGAGGCCTTAATTGCATATTGTTAAAAGCTATATGATTTTGAATCATATCAATAAGTTCATGAGTTTGGTTGCAAGATAGATCTAGTGCTGAGTTGTGAATAAGTTCAGAAATAGAATTAGTAATAATATTGAAAAGGGTAGTAGAGTTAGGGCAAACTTTCCAATGTGAGACAGAGTCTAATCTATTGCAATAGAAGCAGTTAGGATA